TTATATATATATATATAATTTTTATAATTTTCTGTTTCTTTCCTGCTGGTTTTCTCTTAATTCTCTTTTCTAATGTTTCATCAACTCTAGCAGATTTTTTATCTCACTTCTAGTGCATGCCATCATCATGAAATTTAGTACAGATTCTATTTTATCTTTATCAAAATAATCACACTCCCAATATCAGTGTTGCAATGGTTTCTATCATTGGGCAGTGTTATATTTTATCATATGGCAAAAATAATGCAAATTTCACTCTATTTAATGAAAATGATATATTTCTTTGAATGTATTGCACAAGTTCTACAAGCTGTGGCCTAACTCACAAATAAAACATTAGTTACTGTTAAATTTCCTCTTGTATCTATGGTACAACCTCAACAAAATTGTACAGCACTTAGTAGTTAATCATCAATACCATAAAAGATTAACTTACTCATGTTTTTATATATAACAATATTTGTTTCCCCTCAAATCTCATGAAAATGTGAGATTTCCCATCAAATCTAGATACTCAAGAAACTTCTGAGCATCACACATCATCAGTATATCATATTAAAATTCCCTCTAGCAAACAATATCAAATGTGAATATTAACAACATAGCCTACAAGAGTGAAAATTTTAAAGATCTTATATTTTGTGTAGGTGATGTATTAGTGTTGTGGAGAATAACAAGGATTTTGGCTTGATGATAGATAAAAGCTTCAAGCCTTTCTGAATTTGGAAGTTCTGAAAAGGAGAAGTATAGTTCTGTGATATATTTTCAAAAATTTAGAGTTCATAAGTGGGTATGTCATCACCACTTTATGCAAAACTTTGCTAAGGTCTCATCTGGAGTTGTGTTCAGTTTTGATTCTATTTTATTCCTAGTTTGAAACATTTAAATTGTGAAGGTTAAAAGATTTGAGCTTGTTTTCTTTGTAGCACAGAGGTCATTATGACCTGATTCAAGTCAGTGACAGACACATTTGAAAGTATTGTCAGTGTAAACAGGGGTGTCAAGAAAGTTGTTATACACAGATACAAGTTTTATGGCTACTTTTAGTTATATAGTAATTTTTCAAACATTTTGTTCATTTAATTTTTGTGCAGTTTTAGCATAAACATGCAGTGCGAAAACTTGTTGGAGTTACCTTCACTGTTCTCTACAGTAGATGATGTTTATTCTGCTTGAGGGAATGTTGAAGTAATATAGCAATCATGCTGAAAGGGTCACTAACTAATATATTTTACTGGTCAAATTGATGAAGTCTGTGTTAGGGCCAACCAATGCTATGAGAAAATAAGGGTCATGGGTTGATACTGATGACTGGACAAAAGAACTGAGTTTACCTGTTGAATTCAAGTACACCTTTTTGGTTCATGGTTCAGTTCTAGTAGATTTATGAATGTAAAGATGATGATATGTGAGATCATTGTGTTTTAGTTCTGCAGAAATCAATCCTGAGAAGGTGAAAGCTGTAGGAATTAACACCACCTAGTGGATAATAACTGAGGTTCTGTCTGCACAAGTATATATGTTGCATTTTCTTTGTTTTTCATTGAAATTGTCTTATTTTGTTAAACTTATTTAGTCTTATTATTTCTTACACACAAGAAAACCTAGTCAAGTTTTCAAATATGGACAACTCAACAAATCTCCTAGCCCATTTGCTGTTATTAGTGGATCTAACTATGTGATACTTGGGAAATCAGTTCACCTAAAAACACTACAGGTAGAGAAGGAGGAGAAACTTTGGTGCCATGACAACATGATTTACTGTAGTTTCTGTTTTGATAACATTCATATTACTTCTAGTCTGGTCACTAATGTTTATTGAAAATTTAAAAGAATTCTTCTGAATTAAGAATGGTATATTTGTAAAACAGAAGTACTTGTGACCAAGTGGAAGGGAAAGAACTACAGGAAGATGTGTTGGGTAAGGAAAAGCACTTTTTCTGTTCATGATATGAAAGTCCCTAACATTGGTCAGCCTGCAACCACCAACTCAGGGGGATTTGTTCATGTCTGGAGTACCTACACCATTCAAGCAGATGGTACCACTGAGGATCAATCTTGGTAGAAGGGAAGCACAGACAACTGAGGGTTATTGAAGTGGAATGGCACCTAGAGAGTTTGAGAATGTATGACAAGGCCTTAACAGAACTCCTAAGCTGTCACAAGTCAAAGCATCATAGCTCTAGCTCTGTCACTCTTGAGAATAATGACTTAAAACTGCCTGTGGTCTTGGTGACAGCTCATGATACCTGTATGCAGGACTGTTTGATGAGCCACACCTCAGTAGCTCACTGCCCTGTAGTTCTAAACCAGTGACTTACCATCCATTTCTGTGGTGAAGTACCCCTATGCAGCTTGTGATCTTTAAAGCTCTCTGAGTGAGATTACCAATACAGCCACTAAATACCAACTTTGTTCTGATAAATAGCATTAGATCATATATTAGAAGGGAAGTGCATCTCTGGCTCAGTCTAGTGTTGCTCAAGGAATGAAAGTAGTTGTTTCCGATCTCAGATCTGGAATTGGCATCCTTGGGATAGATGCATTGTGGAGATTACCTATCAATTTTCCTTGTGTAACACATAAGATGATGTTCCATAAAAAAAGTCATCTAATGACAACCAGATCGAGCCCAGGAACAGTGGACCACACAAGTGTATGTAAAGGAATGAATAACAGTCCCTCCATGTATACAAGTAGTGTTTCATGGTTTAATACAGTTATAGTAACCAAATACAAAATGAACTGTTTCCTGTCCAGAAAGCAGGCAGCATTGGCTCAGACAATTATCCATCCAACAATGGATGAAATCCCACTGTTGCTTTGTAACTATGGATTATAGGCTATTAAGCTTGATGCTGGAATGGTTGCAGGCATTGTAAGTGAGTGGAAATAACCAATGTTATTGGTACACTAGGGTTGCATCTGTCACGCCAGAGCTGAAAGTAAATACAAAGCTACTGACATATCTTAGGTAATTGGTTAAAATTTGTGATTTGTTGGGTAAATAAGCAGATGTATTTCTGGAACCAGATGGCCAATTGAATGAAACAACAGTGACTCAGTATCATATAGGCACAGGCAACATATATCCAACAAATCAACTTCTGCTACAGCTTTTTCAAGCATTAGGGAAGTCACAAGTGCTAAAACACAGCTGCTGATGTAGGACAAAGTCGTACAGCCTTTGTAGAGTATTTGATCATCTCCAGTAGTGACTGTCATGAAGAATGAAGTAATGCCAAGATTCTGTGTTGAGTTTAGATAGGTTAATGTGGCAACTCTCATTGATACCTTTCTTTTACTGTGAACTGATAAAGGTATGGATGAATTAGAGGACTCCCAGGGGGTTTCAACACCATGGATCTGGTGTCTGGATACTGAAAACTTGAGCTTTATGATGAAAGCAAGATTAAGACTGTTTCTAACAAAAGAGACAGCTTGTATAAAATTTGTGTCATGACATTTAGTCTGTGTAATGCACCAGCTACTTTCAAACAGCCTGAAGAAGTTTACACTCATGGAACTACTCTGATAAATATGACTGATTTATGTCAGCAATGTTTTGGTGCTTCTCAACACTTTTGAATCTGCATCTGATAACCTGAAGATGGTATTCCAGTATATGAAGTAGGCTTGAAATTGAAATCATGAAAATGTTCACTCATGTGCACAGAGGTGGAATTTCTCAGTCACACTGTGGGGAGAGATGGAGTCTTGAAGGACCTGAGTAAGATAGTTACAGTGAGAGATTGGCATTGAACCATAAATGAGAAGTTTGCTGAGTCAAGTACAACTTTTACCACAGTATGATAGTTCATATGTGGACATTAATGTAAACAAGTAAAACTTTTACCACAATGCAGACACACACACACACACACTGTTGGTTAAACTGTTTCATATATTTATTCTTATGTTTATTATTTCTAATTTAGTTTTATGTTTACTATTTTATCATAAATACTCTTCTGCACTGTTAACTTAATATGTACAGGAATTAAGATAACGTAAGTTTACTGGGCTGACTGAACCTTGAGAGATGTTATTGGGTTTAAGACCAAATATATTATTAACAGTGAGGGCATCCAACTGATGAAAAAAGGCATTCTAATCATAACAAGTAATCATTATAAGTAATATGTCTGAATATTATATTTAATTAGCTATGTTCATTACTGTGTATATATATTTAGTTATATATCAGTAGCTTGCTTTTATCAGAAGTTTATATTAATTCATTAAAACAAGAATATCTTTTAAACAAAATATGAAGTTACCTCTATACATTCAACATAAAATGTAATAAAAACTAAATTACACTGTACCTACTTCTAAAGCATGGTATGAGCTCTTGTTTAACAAATTGTGTGTTTGCTGAGTAAACAATCATTGTAGCATGCTTCCTTCAGTTAATATTGTTTTTTTTTTATAATTTATGTTTCATGTAAACTTATTTTTAAGGTATATACCAATTAACAGGAATGTTTTTACTTACCAAAAGAAGCAAACAAATCAGCTACTGCAAGATAAGTAATAATATGTTTTTGCCTATGACCAGACAGTGGTGCGTGTCTAGAATGACTGTCATCTGATGAGGGAAAAATCTGATAACTTGCACCAAAAATTCCTAACAAGCTTGATATTGCACATACAATATTGTAAGGAGATGAACTGAAGTGAAGCCGTCTTTGAAGACTTGGGTGATCTTCTGAAACAGCACAACAAAATGTGTCGAGAGAAGGAGAAGCCATCTAAAAATAAAAAAAAGTTAATATATGTAGGAAAAGGTAATAGCCATGTATGTATGAACATGTAAGTGAACAACACACTGGAATCTTGAGTATGTTTATGATTTAGTTGCTACTTGCTGTTGTTCCTCTGTTTCTTAATAAATATTGACTAAAGAATAAGGTATTCTTATTAAACTTAGCTTCTCATGCATATTATATAATAATAGCTATGAAGTAAGTATTTATACAATTTCATAATAAGCCTGAGACTTTGAAGAAATACTTTAAATGGTGTATATAGAGAATATCAATCTATAAATGAATAAAAAATTTATTAGAATACATACACGTAGAAGTACCCTGAGCTGTACTGATGCAGATCAGTTATTTATCATTAATGACCTAATAAAGTAGTTTCATTAAATTTGAAAGTATAGCATAAATATACAATAATTACAATATAAGAACTTACTGTAACAAAGCACTACACAAAAATACCTTTCATGGGTATGTCATGCACACTTTGTGGTAACACAAAATAAAAGTATTATAATTTATTTGTTGCAAATGTCTGTTGTAGTGAAGTGCTGGTTACTATTAATGTTCTAAACCACATAGCTCGATATCAAGCATGAAAATAGTTAAGGGTTACAATAACATGTAGATAAAAATGGTAGTGTAACCTGTAACTGTGCAGTGGAAAAGTAGTTTGATGTAAACCTTTAACTTCTACTATATGTTTACTTTAATAAAAAAAAAATACCAACTACAACATCTTTGAGATGACATCTTATTTATACATGTAAAATTCTGTGAAAACATCTACATCATACATGTAGAATCAGGTTAAAATATTTATCATCTATGATTTCATAGATTATCATTTAGTTTTCATGCAGAAAATAATTATTTTATGCAGGAAAAGATATTCCAAAACAAAATAAACCAAATATATAAAAAAATCAATAATATTCATATATGTAAGTCAGAATTTCATTTCTGCAAATTTTGTCCCTTAGATACAATATTTATTCATTCTTTCCATGAAAACTTACAAATCATGGGTGGATAAAAATGAGAAGCACTTCTTATTGTGGGTAAAAGAAAGGATGTATCCCAAAGTGTAGAGTGGCTAGGGCACAACGGACCGTACAAGGCAAGTCAACTGCATCCAAAACTCTAGAGCCAGGAATTAGTATCCACATAGAGTAGGATGAGGATCATACCATCGAGAAGTCAACTTCAACAATAACTGCTGGCGATGAACACCCAAGCGGGGATAGGAAAGAAGATTATACCACCTTTACCTCAAGTTGAAAATAAAATACAGATATATCCCTCTCAAATCAAACATACCGGAACCACCCCAAATGCAGTACCATCCTGGCATAAAGACATCAAAGGGAGTGCAAGAGAAGGAAGAGGAGAAATGATCAAGTGCTCCCATTGTGACCCACAACACATGGAGGTGCACCAAAGATGAACTGAGTAAGTGAGCAGGGACACCCTGAACACATGTGTGAGGACTTATGTTGAATGGTTCAGCTCTAAATCCAAAACTCAACCACCGAGAACCGACTTCCATGCAGGGGTAGGATGAGGGATCTCAATCATGTCTACATCAGCAGAACATCACGGCCCTACTCTCAACTGAATGGATGTGTTACTTACATATTGTATATTTCACATTCAGGAGGAGACCCCCATGGTCCACTACCCCAGCTGCTTGGAACTGGAAAGTGGTAAGGACTCTCTTACTCCACTAAAAGAAACTGGGGAAAAAATGAGGTGGAGAATCTGGAAGAACAGTCACACCAAAAACAGTACAATGAGTGACCACAAAACTCTATATTGAAAAGCAGAACAAATCTGATTTATTCAATCTAAGGAATGGCAGGGATGGGCAGCTATACCTTTCTGCTTTACCCACAAAGTTCATGGGCGAGTACAATCTGGAATGGGTATAACAAATACATTATGTAGAATAACCTACAAGTGATCTTATGGAACACCTCATTTCTAGTACATTACAGAACAATGTGTATTTAATGGCCATAGAAGAAAATAAATAAAAATCAACTGACTTTTCAGTGCAGAGTTGAGTACCAAACTAAGTAAGTGAAGTATCATGATATAAAATACTGTTTAGTTTAGATATTATTGATTAATTTATTTTTTGTGAGTGAACATTTCATTATTGTTTAGTTTTTGTTATAATAAGAGTTAAAAGCACATTATTGTAGGAAGTTGTGTTTATAAGTGATTAATCAAGTGCACTAACTTGACATCAAGAATATAGACAAAAGGAACAGAGGATATTTAGAAGACCAAACGATTACAGTAACTTGCACTACAATTGTAAGTGAATCACACACAGAATACTAGTGCAATAGTAATAGAGAAGATAGTTGGCTTGTCAACTGAAATTCTAAAGTAACTGAATAGGCCTAAGTGGACTTTCACAAGAAGAAGAGAACTATATATATTTATAGTGTCTATGATATGCCTATAATCTCTATAGTGTGAAGAATTTGTTGTACATACATTTAACTTGTTCTGAATATATATATATAT